TTGGTATTTTTGTTCAGTGTGACATTTCTGGTCGCTGGTGAAGTCCTGTTAAGGCACTTCAGTCATAGTGGCATTCAAGCTGAGTAACTAAAATCCTGAATATTTTTCAAATGGAGTTTCCAGAATCTGATCTTCTGCAGTTAGAATGAAAGGGCCAAATGGAGAGAAACTAAAATAAAATATTTGGTAGGGCTGAAATCCAGTGAGTGTGTTACAAAAATGTTTCCGATTACTAAAATTGTTGGGAACAGACACGAGAAAGGAGGGAAGGAGAAAGTCGAGCACTTAAACTAGATACTGTTATACACTAACAAAAATGCCGTTGTATGTGGGTTGCAAACACTAAAACACTTGCTTTAATTTTTCGGATGAGTTTGAATTTTATGTGAACTCATTATTGGAAGCAAAGGTTGCTGTTAAGTAAAGCCTGGCTATCAAACTAGTTTTCTGGTTTCAGTAAAGCAGTTAATGAGAAGTAAGCAAAAACGTTCCCCCAAATCATGTTAATTCCAGGTTTTAAATGACACCTTGGGAAAAAATAAAGTGCTATCAGTATGAAGTGGAAGAACAGATGAAATAGTAGGCACTGTGAAGAAGTTTCAGGAATTCAAGGGGAACTGAGTGAAAAGCCTCTAGAAATACCCACTTTGATCAGAAGTATATTTAATGGAGGAAGTGCTACAGGGAATTGCTTAGCATAGAAATAGTGTGAGTTTTCCATACAGAGAAGGTAACTTAAGTTGATGCACTGCTTGGGTTCTTTCACCTCGAGCCTTTGATTTACAAACTGCGTATATGGATGCACGATCAGAACTGCCTGAATGGTTTACTTGCAGCGGTGAATGAGGAGGTGAGGGGCTGCATTTGGCAGTACTGTTTGCGTTTACTGGAATGCCAGTTGGTATGGCAGCACTATTTATCTTACCCACTGTAGATGCACTCGTTAATCATACCTTTGAAGCCTGACACGGTGTGGGGTTGTCCTGTTGCCTGAGTGCATCCTGGAAGCCTTCTCTTGCTCTTCTTCACAGTTCAGTGCAACACAGTGGGTGCTAGTTCCCACTGAGGCCTGTGGGTTCTGGGCGCTGTCGTTTCTGACCCAAGACCAGCTGGGAGATGTCTTCCCTGTTGGATGCCTGGCCATTGAGTTCCCTCAAGGAACGGGAATCAAACAAGTGCTTGAAATAAGGCAAAGGCTGGCAGCAGTAAGAGCGGGATTTTTTTTCAGCTTTGTAGCCTTTTCCTTGAGCTGCCTTCCCATGTTCTTTTGTGAGGATTCAAGAGTCTTAATATGCTTATGCTGAGATCAGCTATATACAGTTCTGTGTCGCTGAAGTGTATCGAATTTGGACTTCAGCTTTCTGGTATTTTATACGTGTGAACATTGCCTGACACACTGCCTGATGAGAGCTATTTACAATCGTTTAGATGTTAATGAAGCATGTGTAAAGAAGAAACAATTACTCCTATTAGTTCTGTCTGAGACTTCTTAGGATGGCTAAGTATGTTTTGTTAGTGTCTTCTTTAACAGAAGGATTGAAATAGAAGATACAGAAAATTTTTAGAAGATTTAAAAATACTGTGCTGGGGTTCTTATTAGTTGTATTGAAAATAGACATCTAAATTGATTTTGAAATAAGTCTGATAATGCTCAGCTCTTGTATTTGAGCAGTGAATCATGATCATAAATTACAAATGATTTTAACCATTGGGGCATGGAAAAAGGTACCATTCAAAGCTAAATACCACAATTAGAGATGCATGACTGAAATTTCAAAGTAATGTATTAGTAGTATTGTATGAGACAGTCACATGAAAAAGATCATGAGGTTGTGAAAAGGATTATGATCATGCTTGCCATGCTTTAGTCATGAATTTACTGCTAGAAATATTTTAGTCTGGACTGTGCTTGTTTAAATGGGAAGAGTTTGACTTTGCTTGTTCTGATTATATTACCGTTATGTGGAAAAGGGGGAGAAAAGGTCTTCACAAAAGTTGTATACTTTGAGTAACTGAATTTTATGTACAGTTGAGTTGTGGTTTTCAATACTGAGAAACAGAAATTAAATAATAAACAATTTGGTAAAGAATCACAGTGTATTGCATGCACTTACCTAGTGCTGCCATTGTGCAAGCATACATACATGCATTCGTGTTTCTCCTGGGCTTTCGTTTGTCTTGCATGTACCTTAACTGCTAACTTCAGACCTTGAACCTGCTCCTCACAGTAAGTAACATTCCCCATTGTAAATCCTCAGCTGATGAAAATTGGCATATCCCTGTAGAAATGTGGAGCTCTACTGATCTGTTATCGGCCATATGCCTGATCCAGTATCTTTACGTACTGCCAGATTGTTTCTGCTTCCTAGGATATGATGTGATTTGCAGAGCCCAGGCTCCCAGACTGTGTGAGAACAAGCACATGGTTTTTATTTAAAGGTTGTAGAATAAGTTTCCAGACAATCGTACAATCTGAGGGTTGACTCGGTCCAATGATACGAGGATGAAGATATGTAACCTGCTGCTTCCTACTCCACCAGCAACAGCTCTGCACTTAACTGCTTCCTCAAAGGAGAACGGAAAAAGCTTCTGGAAGGTGTTTTGAGATGCTTTTAATGTTTCTGTATTAATCCCAGTGATATATTTATGAGAACATTAAAAATGCCTTAAATAGTCTCTGTGAGTGCAAAAGATTGTATAAAAGTAATCTCAGTAAATTTGGGGATGAACTTGTCACACTAAACTTCCTGAAATGGTTTGTCACAGCCTTTAAATCACTCACTGCAGTGTACAAGCTTGGGCTGGAGACAGTCTGTACAGTCATTCCAGACTGATGATAGAACAGTTGTTTATAAATAGAGAACAGTAGTGTAAAATGATTAGCCCTTGATCTTTCTGATGTTTCTGGCATCAATTTTGATACCAGTGCCTCCAAATGAATGATACTCTTCCAAACTTCTGTAACTCGGTCAGTATTGCAAAAGAAGAGTTCACTTTTTTCTTAACCTTGCAAGCAATTGAATCTCCAGTGAGAGGTAAATTTTGGTCTTGTATATTTGTAGAGGTTAATAAAGAATTTTTTTTCCAGTCTAATGTGTTAAATCATTTATTAGCTATATAAAATTACTAAAAAGTAGCCCTTTTCCTTTTTGATTTCTTTGTCAACCTGTTGGAGGTATAAGAGCTTCCAACATTGTTGTGTGTGCGTGTGCATATACAACGTGATTGCAGGCACTTAAGCACAAAACATTGAGCTAATACTTCAAGAAGTGAAAATGGATTGAAAATGTTAGTGGGTCGCTATAAAGCACTTTTCTCATCAGTTTTTACAGAACACGGTTAGCAGCTGGGCTAGAGGACAAGTACACTTACCATTTCTTGTCTGCAACTCAATCTCGTTTTAGGATAGATTGGCCAGATCACTTGGCATCTTAGTGAAAGCACGGTCGGTCATACAGCTCTAGGTGAGGTACACATAGGCTACTAAAGCAATTATAAGTGTAGAACAAGATAAAAGCATACTTGATCTGTTTGCCTATTATTTTGTCCTTGCATTTGCTAGTTTTTGGCAGCATCTGGACATACAGAAGCAGAAAGATCTCAACTCCATCCACCTCTCAGCTCTCGTTTCCTCCTCAATCATATTCAGTATATAGCTAGTTATGTGTAAAAGCCCTACTTCTGTATATACTCATTTTTTTTCAGTCAACGTTAAACCTCTCAGATTGATTGGGAAGCTCCGTGCTTCTTCCTTTTTCTCTCTGTTTCTTTGCTGATAGGAGAGCATGGTTATCTGCTACCTGTATCTAGGTGAACTGCTGTAAATGATACACATTTCACCTTGCCTTGTACCAAGGTGAACAAATTAGGTGACAAATTAGGTGTCACTAGCAAGCCTTGGCAGTGTTTGGATGATTTTGTTAACATGTATTCTAGGGGATATTCTTTACCCAAAAATAAGTCTGCAGAAAATGAAGTCATAAAATGTAGTTATTGATTTATCTTTAGCTTTCAAGTTTGGTGTAAACTCACTAAATATAAACTTGGATTTTTTCTTAAAGTTTCTGTTAAAGTAATAATTTCAATTTTGTATTTTTGTTAGCATATTTAAACAAAGCTGATATGTTTTGTCAAGTAGCAAATTGTTTTCAACTCAGAATATGTTAAACTTGTGAAGTGTCTTCATCGTTATCTGATGTTGAATATTAAGTTATTTACATTGAATGCTAAATAGCAAATGACATTGCCTTGATGATGCAATTCCTGAAAATAATTGCAAACTACTCTGACTTAGTGTGTGGCAGCATAGAATCATATTTTGAGTTGCCTAGAAAGGTTTCTGTAGAACCTCCTTTTTAAATTAACATCCACATAGATCTTTGGGACCAGTAAACTCATGCAAACAAAGTGCTAATAAATGTTCTTATCTTTAGTAATACATTTAAGTCAGTTATTGACGATTTATTTTTAAATCAGTAGTTACCTACTAAAATTGGGAATTGTGCAGTATGCGTATTTAGTGGAAGTAGTTTAGCTGTGCATAAGAGAATAAATGATGTTTGGATTTTCAATTGTTATCTTCTCACCATCCCCCTAAATAAGAAAATAAAGACAATAGTGTTATATTGAGCCCTTTTTATTCATTAAGTTGTTTTAATGAGGTTTTCAGTATTACAGCTTATCATAAGCATAGACGCCTCTGAAAATATACCGTAAATGTTCTGACTGACTGTAAATGTTTATCTTTTTCTTGTAACTGCCTCCAGTAAGTATGGCATGTAAGGCTACATATCTTAAATATACAGAGCCTGTGTTACTGTTGTGTAAGAGAAGTATGTTAATGCAATCTCTGCAGTAAAAATACTGCAATTGTTATTCTGTTAATGCTAATATCTAAAAAGATTTGTGAGTCTGTTAGTGCAAATAAGTACTGCAATGAGCATAATACCACTACTGATTCTGCTTTTACACCTAAGTGCTTCCCCTTGTGTTTCTTGTAGGAAACAGAGATGAAGGTACACATGCACACAAAATTTTGCATCATTTGTTTGCTGACATTTATTTTTCATCAGTGCAATCATTGCCATGAAGATGGACACGACCATGGTCCTGAAGAGGAACGTGTACACTACCATAATTACTATCAGATCTCGGAGGCACCCTACCACCAGAATGCAGGAACAGAGTCTATGCCGAGTAAATTTTCAGCTTTGGAAGCTGAAAATGAGCAAAAATACTACATTGAAAAGATTTTTGATCGCTTTGGTGAAAATGGAAGATTATCCTTTTTTGGCCTGGAAAAACTGTTAATAAGCCTTGGTTTAGGAGAAGTAAGAGTAGTGGTGATAAATCATGATGATATTGGCCATGATCATGTTTCTCACCTGTATGCTTTAGATGTACAGGAAGGAAAGCATTTTCACTCTCATAACCATCCTCATAGCCACTCAGATTCAGAAAATCAAACCATGGTTGGTATGGCTGCAAAGAGAAATCATAAATGTGACCATGAGAGAGATGCAGCTCTGTCATCTATAAAAGGTGATGGGAAACACATTCATGACCAGAGTCACCATCACCATCATCACCATCCTCATCTGCACCATCATCTTGACCATAATGGTACACATCATTCTCGCAATGATTCAGTTGGTCATAGTGAGCATGGAGAACAGAACCATGGACCTTCAACAGAGACAAACACAACACAGGATCAGCGTGAAAGAAAACAACGGAAACAGAAGAAGAAACGAAAGAAAATCAGTGAGACTTCAGGAGATACTACGCAAGATTATGCTCCAGATCATCATCCAGGTGATCAGTATGAGCACAATCGTGTTCATAAACATGATCACGTACATGATGCATCTCATGTGCATGTACACCATCATGAACACGGTAGTGATCATTCTACTAGTCACGGACATCAAGATTCCAGTCTAGGTAATGAGGATGGACATCACCATACCAGCAAGCGAGAGGCACCTCGCAAGCAGATGGGTGTAAGAAAACACACTACTTTTTCAGCACGTAGTCATAAGGATCATAATGAAGATGAACGTGATCGTGAAGAGGTGAGTATGAAATGGAGAACTGGCAAGTTCACCTTTGCTGTTGTTAAATAATAATTGAAGATATGTACCCACAAGTAAAGCAGAAGGAAATGTTTGTGTCAGTTACATAGTACGGGCAGAGTGAAAACACTAAGAGGTCGGTGCCACAATATTGAGTTTACTTTGTGAGTTTTCATGTCTGCCATCATCTATCTTTTCTTAGGGTATCTTGCCTGCTTATCTCTGTTTAAAGATGATACTTCAGATTTTCTAAGATACCTTGTTTTCAGGTGGTTGTGTTTGTTTGTTTGTTTTTTCCCTTCCCAAAATTCATGAGCACCTTTTTCCCCCTCCCTATGTTTTTTGGACTTCTTTCTGAATCTAAGATTAGTAACCTTTTTGGAAACCGCGCAGAGACTTTTTCCTAAAAGAAACACATGTATATTTTCCAATGTGTCTGTACTTTCTTTGTCCTAAAAGAATGTGAAGCAATATAGATGCAACTTCTGTAGTACTGTGCTTGGTGTAAGCCTATTCTTCCATTTTTCCTTTCGGCATCCACTGTTTCTGCCAGGACCTTAAGTTCACTTTTCCTTCCCCCTCACAGTTAACTACACAAGCAGGATGGTTTGATACCATGATTTTTAATGTAACAGTTAGGATAAAAAAGGTTGGAGTGAATGCTGAGTTAGAGATTTACAAGTGAAACTCCAAACACAGAAGGTTAATAGGTAGAGAGGAGTATTAGAGAACCTATTCTGGATTTTTGTTCTTCCACTCTTTTTCTGTTGTTCTTTCTTCAGTGCTTGTACTTGTGTGATTGCAAAGAATATGGATGCTCATTTTGATTGACATTTATCAAAAATTATATAGGTGTTTGGAGACTGAGTTGTATAATACCGATATACATACTGCTTGTTTCCCCTCATACATTTTATGCCTTTAGGCATGTTTTAGCTCTGATGGAATGTTGTGGGACAGAGTTTTTTGCTTTTCCTTTGTGTGTTATGAAATTATAAGCTAAATTTTCCACAACTATAGTTTTTAATGAAATAGTTGCTTTCACATTTAATTTCTTTGTACAATTTGCTTGCAGTGCTTGAATGTAACCCAGCTGCTACGACATTATGGTCTGGAAACCAGCTCTCCAATATCTCCTGAATTGTTTACATATATGTGTCCTGCTCTGCTATACCAAGTTGAGAGAAGACTTTGTATTGTACATTATGATGAGCTTGAAGATTTTATGAAAAGTAAAACTGCATCAATTCAGAATAAAGATAAAACAGGTGCTTCAGGTAGGTGTGTAACGTCCAAAGGCTTTCAATTTTTTTTTGCATTGTGAATATCAACTTTGAAGAAAAGGTTGAAATGTCATACAACTTAGCATTGACTGCATAGTAAAGGAGTGGTTGAAATTTAACATATCAGAAGAAATTTGAGACAACGTTTGTTTAAGTCAGGAGACATAGCATCCTGTTTGGTGCTATCATAGCTTCTCCAAAATGACCATGGCTCAGGAAACCACCTTTTTTCTTACCTTTTATTATTTACCTTTTTAATGTCATAACAGACATTTTGGCCTGGATTCTTCCCACCTATATTTAGATATTGGACTCTTAGTAGGAGTATAGGCAACATGCAACATCCTTGGAGGTAAAAGCACCTTTAGAGATGCACGTCTGCTCACAGTTCAGATTGTTTCCATCATTCAAAGTGTTACGTCTTTTTCATAAATTATAATGGAACTGTTGACAGATGTTTTACTGCAGTAAACTATTATAAATCTAAAAAGTATTGGGGACATGAATATTGATTAGTACATAAGCGTGTATTAACAAAGAATGCAGTGCTAGTAATTATTTTTAATGACTCCAGCATCATTAAGAAAGATTAGCTTGTTACATGTAAATCTCCTATAGAGAGACGGTATCTCATTTACTGTTGAGATGGCTGTAAATCAGATATACTGTATGTGTTTTGTGTGGCAGCAAATCACTTGTTTTCTGGGGTAGTCTCATTGTAGTAAGAGTTGACCCTTGCCTTGTCTTATTATCAAGCGGATTTGTAGAACGGCTTTAAGCATTTTCTGCCAATTAAGATGTTGAAACCATGCACGAAGCTGTCATGTTGCACATATTTTGAACCAGTTTAATTAGAAAGTTTATGCAGCTGAGTGCTTCTTTTAAAAAGAACTCATTTTCTTTCTATATAATGAGGAAGAGAGTTGATGAATAACTAGGCATGAAGATCCTTTAACGTTTGACGGGACTTAATTAGCAAAATAAGTGAACCTTACTGTGGACATTTAACATGTTTTTTGGTATTTTGAGTATAAATAACATTAGGCAGTTAATTGTAAACAAAAAAAATTTCACTTAATTTGGCTCTGTAAACAAACAGTAACTTCTGAAACAGGTCAACTTGATGTAGATAATGATAAATCATGATATCTAGCAATGTCATGTATACTGTTCTACTAACTAGAATGAGACTTCAGGTGATGTAATAATCATTTTTGCTTTTTAAGTAAGGAAGTGAATCACAAAATAACAAGTCTTAACTGGTATTTGAGGGTTGAGGGAGGCGTGAGATGAATGTCAGAGTAACTGTTAACCTGTAGGTTGTGAGATTCTGCTAAAACAAAAATGTGTTCTTGCCCAGGCTAATGTAAACTTTCTTAGATAGAAATGCTTGTCAAAGTTAGGAGGATGCAGATTTTAAAAAAAACACACTAGATACTTGATTTTTTTTCTTCGGTATTAATTACACCTTCCCAAATATGCAGTAGACTGGTGCTGCTTCTATTCACTTACAGTAACTTGTAAGGTTTTCATTGGGTCTGTCAATTTTCTAAAGCAAAATAATTTAATTAATAGGTGACCAAAAACTTAGATGACCATGCTGACTTTTGTACCTGTAATTGTGGATAATTCTGTAAGATCTTCTAGTAGAGGATTTTCAAGGGCTTTTTATCTACAACTGAATTTTCATGGTGTACCTATCAGCATTATCATCATGCAGGGTTCCTAGGCAATTCAAAAGTAAGCGTGCATCCGAATATGGATCAAACTAATCTCTTTGATTACTGAACTTCTAGATACTTAACAGGGCTGTACTGAAGAGGGTTGTATGATGTTATTTTCCCCCTCTAACTTCTCATCGTAACTCCACCTGTTATGCGTACCCAGACTCTGTGTGGACTGTCTAGCTGCTGACACACAGCTGTCAGTCAGCAAAAGAAATAGATCCTGAATGTGGTAAAACTAGTGAAGCTTTTCATTTAATTTAATTTTTTCAGTTTGAATGATTGGGAATCAGTCAGTAGACATATTCTTCACGTTGGAACATAGAATCGGCTTTCCAGATTTGAGAAACACCATGTTGTTCCTGTACTTTGAAATCATTTGGGAACGTATGTTGCTGTAGTTACTGGACAAACTGCCGCTTGTATTTTTTTTTTCTTTTCTTAGTTCAGTTCACTGAAATCATTAGATCTACAGCTGTCACTTGGTTGACTGTGAACAGATTGATGCTACCACAATTGCTTGATTCAGTTCTTCAGAAGCAGGGCCAGAAATTGTAGCAGCTCACTGTTAGCATGAATGGTGTAATTGCCATAGGTATTGGCGAGGGTCTCTTAGTGTGCTTGTGCTATGTACCTATAGACTAGAACCATGTTTACATCTCAAGTGAAAGAAGTTACATTTGAGAATATAATTCACCTACTTGTCTATGAAATACTGTAATGTATACCTGGATTGAGAACCTAGCCTCTCACAAAAGGGGCAGCACTGAGATACGATGAAAGTAAACAATGAGCAAATTTTTCAAGTCAGGGGTCAGCTAGAGCTGCTGTTTAAAGGTATTTCAGATCAGACAGCATTCCCTGGACCTTACCATTCCCTGAATGCAGGAAGGCTTTGCTGCACTGGAGCCTTGGTATTAGCTTGCTTTCTTCTGAAAGCTTGCAGATAGGTAACTTTTCTCAGCCTTCTAAGGAATCTACCTTGCTGTCCTTCTGCTCTGTTGTAATTTACAACTAGCTCTGCAAATGTGACGCAGAGCAGCCGTCTTCTGTTGGCTATGCAGTGTTTGAACAGAGGTCCCTCACAGAGGAAATTTTTGGATCGCCTCCCTCTTACTTTTTTTTCCAGAAGAGAATTATAAACCAGTACATAATAACTTCACTTCATTGACCAAGCCTTATCCAGTATTCCTTGGGCTGTTACACACCAAGACCTTTTATAACTTACGAGCTTTGCAGTGTTCTTAATACTGCATGTTAGGCCTACTTCCGTAATATTTTAGTGTTTTGGACACTGCAGCTGTATGAAATCATTCAATAAAATTTTGTCAGATTTTTTTTTCAGAGGTCTTAATGTAGTCCTTTTCATCTCAGGAGATAACTTTATCAGAATAAGTTTGTACATGTATGTAACTGTGGGGTCATATGCTGTTTTTGTGTATATTTCTTGTCCTTTGATTTGATGGCAACCTTTTGCTGATAATTTTGGATCCATACCTTTTTAAAGAGTTTAAACAACTGTTTTAACAGCTGCTGATTTTGACCATCAGCTTCGGAGTGGGGCACAGATTCTGTATTCTCATTCTCATGTGCCTCACCTTAATCGGGGTGCCATATTTAGGTACTCTATCACTCAAAAAGGTATGTACGCCCTTCAGAGATGCGTCTGCCAAATCTGTGCCATGACAGCCAGTATACATAGCCTCCGTTTTTGGTCTCCATGTAAGGCTGCCGTTAGTGCCAGGTTAAATGACCATCAGAACATCTGTGTCCTGCCAACTGGCTGTTAACTTTAATTTGGGCAACTTGAGCATGCATGTTACGATTTGGTATTGGGTTACATGTCCATCTCTGCTGTTCCTTTCAGCAGGGCTTGTTCATCAAGTGTACATGATTGAAGTGCTCTGGGGATGATTCAGGGTTGTGTAGCGACAGTATTTTGGTTTGCAGGGTCCTGCTTCCACTCTACACCTACTTCGTATTCTGTTTTCTGACTTATGTTCTTTAGTTCCTCATGTGATTGCAGTCCTTGTCTTTTCACCAACTCTGTTTTCTTCTCAGTGTCAATCCCCATTCTAGTATATGCTGCATGCTTTCTAAATCTTTTTCCAGTCAGTTTCTCCTGTTGGATATGTTCTTGTAACCTGTGTGTTTGAATTGGATTGTTTCCTTTTCTGCACTGTCATGGGAGATACAGACTTGGTAAGAATGAGTATCCCCCAACATGGGTGAAACAGCAGATCTTGTAAGTTTTGGTGTTGAACCAGACAGGCTGCAGCAGACACACTTTTAGTGGCAAAGTCTTGTTAAATCTGATCTGTTGCATTTTTTTGTACAAATAGAATTATTGGGACGTTTGACTGCTGAGTGATGCTCATTGAAATTCATAATCTTCCTCTCTTCCCATCTTCCCACACCCATTTCCCAAGGTGTTTTTCCCTTCTTGGTGAAGAATGAGCAGAACTTCACAAACTGTGAGGGAAGTCAGATCCTGTACCAAAGTACAGAGGCACTAATGATTTTAAAATCAGAAGTTGCTAACTTTCATCGAAGCTTGCAAATTGCGTAGACGTTTTTGATAAAGAGTGAAGCTAGGAAGAAAACTGGAAATACCTAAAGCATTTAGATTAAACCTTGGAACAAATAATTAAAAAGTTCAGCTTCAGGAAATTATGTTGTTGGAAGGTCTCAGCCCAAGCAGTTACCATTTGTAAAATGGGAGCCTCTAATGAAAATTGTTCAGCAGAGGTAACTTAGCTCACTCCATGTCATTGTAACATGTTACTTTGCATAGTGACATGATCACACTATCAGTGTCACAAAAGTTTGTTTCTTTTCTTTTTCAGTTATATTTACAGATAATACCATATGTGAATATTAGTTTAATAATTCTCCATGTAAATCTCTACTTTGTGTTGTAAATACATTTCTATTTCTGTGTGTATTGCTGTGATATTGAAAAGAGGTAAATCATTAATACATGGAGCCACCAACTATTCCTGTCTTTGGGGCTGTGAACCTTATGAACTGTACTATTGGTACTAAACATTACTTAACTGTTCTTTGAAGTTTCTCTGATAGGACAAAAAAAAAAGTAGAAGAAAGTATTTTCCTAGGCTGAGATTCTGACGGCAAGAGGCATGTTTCATTGTTCTCAGAATCTGTTTCTTCTGTCATTCCTTCTCATGTCGAAATTGGCACATCTTTAATTAGCAGGATTATGTTGATTGTACCCTGTGCCATTATCACTGTTTCTTCCAATGACGACAGTAGAGATCCTCAGAAAAATGCGAACTGTTTCTTGTCGGTAGCAAGTTGCTTTCAGTTCTTTTTAAGTCCTTAGCATTTGATTTTAAGGTTTCTCTGTCAAAGGTTGAGTCTTACGTTTTTTTTTCTCATAAGTAAAAATGTATTTTTCAGAGCACCAGATGAAGAGAATGGTGCCTAACTGAACATGTTACTCCTACCAAAGGGAAGGAAGTATTTACTCCACCTACAATTTCCATCAGAATATAATTGAAAACAAATGTTAAACATGAATTAGTGCCCATAGAGTCATAGTAAGTTGAAAAAAATAGCCAAGATGTTTTCCAGCATGAAATCTGGGGTTTTTGTGTTTCATGAATAGACTGCAGAGCTAAGCTGGGAGCTTGCAGTCAGGAAGAAGAGCTGGGCTGTTCTTTCCCTTAGCTGATTGTCTTCTAACATTTTTCGATCTATTGTGCAGCGAATAAGCCCGTGTGTCTTTTGCTGTGGACCTGAGTACTAAAGGTACTTCATATTTTCAGCACCTTTTGAATGAACAATCACCCGAGTTAGGTTAAAGGAAAGTCACCTTCTTAAGACACAGTTGAAAGTCATTAATCCGTCTTTAAAGTTTTACAATTATTATTCTGATAAGCTTTCTGTATCCATTTCTTCCCACAGCCTGGTTTTGTGGTATCATCTCTATCACCGTCATTAGCCTGCTTTCCTTGCTAGGTGTGATCTTGATTCCCATCATTAACCAATGGTGCTTCAAATTTCTTCTAACTTTCTTGGTAGCTCTGGCTGTAGGAACAATGAGTGGAGATGCTCTACTCCACCTGTTGCCACATGTAAGTATTGCTTTCCTTACCTTTTATTCAAGTGCATATAGAATTTAGAAGGAACTGTTTGACAAGTGTCAACTAACAAATGCTCACAGCTGTAGATTGGCTTGGCTGATGGACATCCTGAAACAGTATTTGAGCCTTGCCATTAAAAACAAAATATATGCGTGTTACTAATAAATGTAATTGCAGTTGCATATTCATAACCTAACTTTAAAAATATTTTAAAATGCCTGAGACCAAGAAGAGCACTTTAAACTTAGTGGTGTTACTTTCTTTTGATACTTGTGTATCAGTACCACCTTAAAGTGTTTCAGGGGATACAGCTTACTGATTACTAGCTTTTGGGGAGAAATTGACTTCTAATGTAATGAATCAAGAAATTGCCCAAACTCTAGGGGAAGGTAAGCAGTTTTTAATTTGTGACAGTATGCCATAATTGTTAGAAAAAAAGGAAAATGTGTTTTAAAACTTACCTTTATCCTTTGAACAAAAAGACTAACATTAATGTTTTCTTTTTGTAAACTTTAATACAGATTTTTTTACATATATATATTAATTTGTATTGCAGATCAGAGTTAAGTTTATAATTGATTGTAATAGTTAAAAACATGATGCTTGGTTGTTAGTGGGACAGTAGCAACAGTAACTGTGTGATTTTCCTAAGTGTTCTCAGTTCTAGCATTTAGCACTTTTTAGTCAGAAAAGAAGCTGAAGCTTCTTTGTTTTTCCCCCCTTCTAAAAATTACCCAGAGGAATATTAGAGTAATAAACAGTCTAATGAAGAGTATTAGAGTAATAAATAGTCTAATGAAGATTTTCTGTGGTAAAACATACCTGTATGACAATAATCTTCTAAAGTGTTTTTGGTACTACTTTTCTGAAGAGGCTACGTATTGTGTCATCTGAGGTCAGAGCCGTTCCAGTCTCCCAGTTGCACCGGGTCACGCAGTGTTACTGCTTTCTCTCCTTTAGTCACATGGAGGCCACAACCACAGCCACCACCATGGCCAAGGTCACGTTCATGAACACAGGCATTCTCATCGACATGCCCACCCACATGGAATAGGGACTGAAGGCTTTCTAGAAGAAAATGATCCAGTGTTGAAAGGTCTTGTGGCACTTGGAGGCATTTATGTCTTGTTCATCATTGAACATTGTATAAGAATGTACAAGCATTACAATAAACAAAAGGTATGCAGTGAAATTGTGTGCTACTTGAAAAAAATCTTTTTACCTGAATGTATCTTCGTGAGTGTTGAGAAATTGTCTGCGTGATTCATTATTCTGTGTGTATTATATATATATCTTATATATATGTGTATATATATATATATATATATATATATATATAAGATATATATATATGTCTCTTATATCTTTTATAAATATATACACATATTTAAAATGTGTGTTCCATTTGATTTCATGTGAGGAAACCCTTTCTAAAACAGGTTGCTTTTCTTAACAAAGTAATCTGGGGAAACAAAGTAGACATCAGATGGGGAAAATACCAGGCTTTTGGCAACATCCACTGAGGTATATCTCTAAATATAAGAAATTATAGCTCCTTCCTCAGAATGCTATGATCTCTTTGCAAAAATACAAAAGGAGGTATGTAAGAAAGAACTGATAATAGAGCAAAACAATTGTCAGACAATTTAGGAGAAATGCAACTGTATGCTCTCAACTAATGATGCCAGTGTAACAGCAGTAGTCACAGTAGAAAATTGCAGACCTTCTGCTTTTGGTACAATGTCATTTAAATTGTTACTTGCTTCCCTGAAAAGAAAGGATTGGATTTTTAGGTCTGGAAGCAGGCTGTAATCATGGTGGTGGTATAAAAGGAGATTGAGTACTTGCAGAGGTATGTAAGTCAGTGGAAATTCAAGCCACCGAAGAGCCATATTATTTCAGCAGTCGTTATTAAGTACACTTTTATGAAAATGACTATAACTGCTTCTCCCAGAAAGAGTGAACAAAAATTGCTCCAGTTTCATTCACATCAAAATTGCTGCTTCATCTGGACAGGCAGCAAAAGATTTTCTGTGTTGGAGGAGGCATTTCTTAGATCTTCTGATGAAAAGATAAAAGCTATTACATATCTCTAAGATTAATTAAATAGTTAAATCTCCTAAGATGCTTTAGCAAAACTATAATCCTTGCGGTATGGGGTGCGCACAGGAAGATGGCAAGCTTTTCTCTAAAGGAAAATATGAGGAAGTTGTAGGAGTAGAAACTTCTAAAATTGAACAAAACAGGAGCTGTTCTTGCTGCATGCTTGCTTTCTTGAACAAAATAAGTGAATGCAATGACTCCAGGTATGTGTTTCTTGGCTGTTACAATGTTCTTTGCAATTATGTACTCTGTTACTGGAGTGAAATTGTGCATGTGTGTGGTAGTCTGTTTTTAAGATGTTTTTTGGCAATGCTTCATTTTTTTCATTTCTGTTGACGTCCTTTTACAAATCCAATGTCAATTGTTTCCTGTTGCAGAGTCAGCAGAAATGGTGCAAGAAAAAGCCAACTGAAGAATCACCAATTGGAAGGAAACTCTCAGATCACAAATTAAATAATAGACCAGATGCTGACTGGCTTCAGCTCAAACCCCTTGCAGGTAGCTGTTTATTTTCAGAATTTTTTCTGATTATGACATTCCAAGTAATGGCTTATAACCTATGCTTGTAACCTATGGCATGTAGCATGTAACCTCTTGTACAGTTGTGCTGCTATTATGTAAATCATTGTTAATAAGGCTTAATAGACTTTCCCCATGCTATATATATTTTGTTTTTCTGAGATCTGAGACTACCATGAACACTTGCTAATATACCCTACAAATGGTTCTCAGACTTACGAAGCTGACAGGGTTTTTGGGTGGCTGTAATTCTTTAGTTTTGTTAAGCACTTGGTTAATCTGGGCCCAGCTAGCTCAGACTTGGCAAAAACTAGATCAAAAATTAACACACACAATTTGAAAGATGATATGCTGGTACACTTTAAAGATTCTGTTCTCTGACCAATTACAATTTGGCCAAGAAAGCTAAGCAAAATTAATTTCTTCTCATAAATGTAATCAAATATCTCTGATTTTCTCAAGGATGTTTCTCAAGGATCCAAAACAATTTTCATATGCTATTCCTTCATGATAATCTGAATGCTTGTGCAGTATGAACCCAGAAGGAATGCCATAGTACACGTCTCGAAGGGGCAAGAGAAGGGGAAGAGCTTTGCTTTGTAAACTTGCCTTCCGGTTGCCAGTGTGGCTGCTGAATTCATTGGTTGATGAAGAATGCATGCGCTATAAGTTATACAAATGCAATTTTGTTAATTTGAATGGTTCGTTGTAGGGAGTGTTAGGTCTGCAGCCTTCTCCATTCAAACAACTTAAAATGAGATTTGGAGAACTGACATAGAGCAAAAAGGCTTTAGACAGCCTCCAAATTATGTTTAAGAGCTTGTTTATCTAGAAACTCATTGTCTGCTGCATAGGTACTCTGTGCCATTTTAATAATTCCGTCTACTCCCTCTACTTTTTTTTTCTGACTCTTGAATATTTTTGTTCAGTTATTTTAAGCTAATAAACTCATTGTCCATAAATGTTTTTTTCTATAATTGTTTTTGTCTCCTAGAGCACATATTGCCCCTTCCTTTTATTTAACAGTATTTCAGAAATACTAGTAAACTTAAAATTTATACACGCAAGCCTTCTGCATTGTTTTCAGTTTGTCTGTCTTATAAAAATGGCCTTGGTTGCTGGCAGGGTAATGAGCTACATTAAAGGAGTTTCCTGTATGACACAAGTGTCTGTCACAAAGACAGTTGCAGTACAGAAGCAGTTTAAAGATCTGTTGTATCAGCGGCAGATCCTGTTATGCTTCCATGTTCTGTATGTGCAGCGTTCCATCTGCAGCGTGTGAGACGTTATGGTGCTGGCAATTCTCCTTTTCCAGTGTTCAACCACAAACTTTGTCAGTAGCAAAGTCATAGATGTACACCTAGTACACCTAGGTCAGGCTAAAGCAGACTTCGTGTGCAATGGGTGCATAGCTGCTGCCTCACAGTGGAGACTTTTAGAATGCTGTATATGCAAATCACTGAAAAATAGGGTAATGGAATTTATTTATTCATTGACAGAATGTTAATCACACAATTATTAGATTAGGATGTGTTAAAACACTATTTTTGCTTTCACAAAGCAAGTAAATTCTTGGCTTAATGTTGCAGTAGTAGCTGGATATATTCTAATAAGAATTAATGCAGTGTTTCTCTCAATTGACTACAATGCAGGAGCAGATGACTCGGTTTTATCTGAAGATCGATTTAATGAAACTGAACTGACTGACTTAGATGGCCAGCTGGAATCCCCTCCCAAAAACTATTTGTCTGTAGAAGAAGAAAACAACGTGCACCATCCTCACAATGATGTTATACGTGCTGCTCAAGAGCATGATGTTCACGATTCAGAGTATGACAGCCATGGTGAAGATAAAATGATAGCTAGGAAACACAGTCACCACTGGCATCACAAACATTCGCATCATTCCCATGGCCACTGCCATTCTGGAAAAGACCTGAAAGATACAGGGATAGCTAATATTGCTTGGATGGTAATTATGGGAGATGGAATTCACAACTTCAGCGACGGCTTAGCAATAGGTAGGCAAAAACATGGAGTATTTTTCAACAGTTTTTCTCCTCATGTTGAGTAACTTTGGTCGCATTTTACTTATTAGTGATCACAGATTTCCAGTTAGCTTCTGTGGTTACTGGCATTGTTTATTCTCCTTCAGAGCAGGAATTAAAAGGCCATCAGTTGTAATTGTCATCTTCCTTCTGTTAATATTCAGTGACTGCTTCCACCAAGATTACTTTGTTGGCATTAGTAACAGTAGCAATCTGTTAGATAAAGATAGGTGCCGAGTAACTTCCTTGTGAATTAAGGAGCACCGGTAGTGCATATTTGTTGTCTGGGTCTCAGTATTTGCCTCAAAGTAAGACAGAAGAAATGCCATTTGTTGTTACTTATATTTATTTATAATAATAATAGGAATATTATCATTAACACATAAATATTGTATTAATAAATAAGTCAGGTACTCCTGACTCCACATGAATGCATTAATAAATGAGTCAGCTACTCAAAAAAGTACTCCTTAGGATAATTTTATTCTTATTTCAGCAAAGTATTATTTTGGATTACAGTTAGTATAGATTTATGTCTAGCCAAATGTAGATTAAACTACCAAACAGAGAAATAGGAACAATTACAAATTTGATTAGATTACAACTTCAATTATTTTAAACCTCTAAATGTGATTTGAACTGTGAAACACATTAATTTTAACACATCATTACAAGTCAAAAGAAGCATAGGGGATTATCTCTTTATTAGGGTTTTGAGTTAACAACGGAATCTACTACAGTATCTCCACTTTCTCTTTTTCTAATTTAAAAAGAAACCATATTTAATAAAAATCAACTTATTGCTTTATTTTTCATGTTGAATTGATAAGACATTTTGATAGTGGCTTCTAAGGCCAAAAAAGATCACTACACCATCTGTTGAAAGCTTCACTGTATTAAAACTCCATTTCTAAATATTTCTGTGTCAAGCCCAACCACCTGATTGGTACAGTTTTAGAAATGTTTGTATTAATCTTTTTAATGTATATCAAGTTAGGAGGAATCCATACTTCTCTGAGGAAAGTTAAATTTCCTCTATCTTAAGGTTGTGCCTTTTTTCTACTTTATTTAGTGTTTTGACTGCTCACTACAGGCTCTTCTTGTACCTTTCTCAGCTATAGTACAGAAATTTAACATCAGTTTTCTCATCTCAGAATGATTTAAGGCATGAACTTAAAGTTGAATTAAATTAGCTTACACAAAAGTTACTAAAAGAATCTTGCACGAGTTTTTCTCCTTATTAACTTCCAAGTTAGGCTTATTCCTGTTGCTGAAAAAAAATCATGCTTTAGGAATAAGCATTAAAGAAATAGAGAGCTTGTGGATTACAAGAGTTTGGATTTCCAACCTGGAAAGGAGAGAGCTATCCTGTTGCTCATGTGCACTCATAATTACCCTAATAAACTTGAGATGCATTCAAAATGTAAAAATGATGCAGTTTATTAGCTTGTTACCTTTATGTCTTGCAGTTGTGTTCTATCTCAGGATTTGCGCTTCAGATGAACTAAGCAATAAAGTACACAGTGCTAATGCACATCCGGGATACTTCCAGTGTAATGAAAAAAGCATTAGTGTGCATTTTAGCAAACAAGTGTAATTTTAAGAAGTCTTTTGATGAAATTTGCTGCGTTGAAATAGTAAAATACCATTTGTATCTTTCTTTAATTTATTTTTTCTTCCAGGAGCAGCTTTTAGTGCTGGACTGACAGGAGGAATCAGTACATCTATAGCAGTATTTTGTCATGAGCTTCCCCATGAATTAGGTAACTAATTGTATAAACTGATGTGTCTCATCTTCAGCTGGATGAAATATGTTTCTAAAAGCTGTTGTGATACTTATCCTGGTAAGCGTAATGCAGTGCTGTTGCTGTAAGGGTGACCAGAACTTCCAGGAGTGATTGAGTAGTATTATTTCAGTGTACATAAAGAGAATATTAATACAAGATTAGTTTGTCAGGCATCTAGCTACAGCTGTTCTGTGAAGTGATTTTGAATGTGTTTTAAAAATATTCTTAGGAGTATAGAGTACATGTTTTTGGTGTTACACCTCTGCAGTTTATATAGTTTCATACTAGTCCACATGGCACTGTCTTTAAAAAACAAACAAACAAAAAAACACCACAAAACAAAGTCACACATCCTATGGTATATTATAGAAGGTTAAATGAATTAGCAAAATTCTTTGTGGAGATCTTTAGAAGATGCTTCCTACCAGTTATCACCAAGTCCAGTGGGTGTGGATGACTATTTAGATAAGTCCTGTCGGTATTGGATTATTATTCAGCCTGTAACCTGAAATTGTGCTGGATTAAACTGTGTGTGTAATCACAGTCAAATACCCATCGAGGTGACAGGTGAAAAGAACTTTACATAGGTAAATACTAAGCACAAGGTAAGTAATGGGTGCGGATGGGACAATAGAGAAGATATTCGTGGTGCTATACTACAGACAGTATTGCTAATACCATAGTTCACTGTATATGCTGTGGATTCTGATTCAAGATTGAGCAATTAATTTCTAGAATATCCAACACAGGAATAATATATTCATTACCCTATTAACTATGTATCATCTTTCACTCATATTCATAAGAGTTCAGTTTGAAGAGAGTAAAACTACTAGCTGGTTAAGAGCTGAAAATTTAGATCTTTATAGATCTACCTCCATCAGCAATTTTAGCAGAGGTGGTCTGAATTCAAAGTAACGCAGGTTTACCTGGCATATTTTAAACCAGCAAGCATTCATGAATACAAAGTCATTCCTTCTGAATGTAACTGTTCCTTTTCTTAGCACCTTACTTCTCAAATTCATTGTAACTTGTGGGAACTGATGCCTCATTATCCTCTTGAATTTGCAGGGTAAGATGTATATAGGTAACAGGCACTGGTCAAAACTAAACCTCTGTTTTCATGTGCAATGACCAACCTGTGTGAAGTAAAGGCAAGTCTGTCTACAGACGTATTCTGTGGGAGTACCAGATCTAGATTCCTCTATTAACCTTTAACAGTTAATCACTAATACCTTTCTGTCAATCAGTACGATGAAGAGATGCCTTCAAATCATAATGTAACCAAGGACTTGCTGCACAAAAATCGTTTTGTTATAAGAGCTTTTTCATAATCCTGTTGCCCAATCTTCCTTTGAGCCTCTAGCAGCATTTTACTTTGGCAGTGCCTTGGATTGCTGAGATAGGTAAATTAGCCTACATTTACTATATTCTTTCCTAGAGACTACCAATACTAAACTTACCCTGTCTGCTCTCTCCTCCTCAGGTGATTTTGCTGTGCTTCTTAAAGCTGGCATGACGGTAAAGCAAGCTATTGTGTACAACCTCCTGTCTGCCATGATGGCTTACATCGGGATGCTGATAGGCACAGCGGTGGGACAGTATGCGAACAACATCACCTTGTGGATCTTTGCGGTCACTGCAGGCATGTTCCTCTATGTGGCACTGGTTGATATGGTAAGGTGATTATGGTTCTGTCTTCTTGGCATTCCCTGCTTCAAGCTAGGATTTGAAATGGCACCTACCACGGAACATTTTTTGTTGTGACAAATACCTTCCGCGTACATTTGTGCTGACTATCCTATTTTCAAACCACTTGTTGTTTTTTAATTTTTTAACAACTTCCCCAGAAGTTAACTGGTACAAAATGGTGTTTGATTCTCACTGGTAGACTTGTCAAAGCAAGCAGGCATCTTTCAGTTAGTGTAAGCCACAGACACACATAGGCTTTGGGTTTCAGCAGTTCTTACTGGAACTGCATCACTTCTTTGTCACTGTTCATGAGGCTATCAGGTGTCTGATGTGCTCTGAGGTGGGCTGATTGCATTAGTCTCCTGGTGCTAAGTAAAGCAGGTGATGTTATGAAGATACCTCTCCCCTCAGACTCTGTGGCCAGTAGTTGCTACTTCCTAGCCTGGTTTCTCACCCATAGTGGTATCCTTGAAGCGTTAGCTAAGGCTGCTGAAAACAAAGGTTCTGTTTCTGATAAATTTGCTGATATCACAGAAGCTGTCTTGGCAAAGAAAGTCAAAAATGGGACATTTCTTTTCATTATAGAGAACTTTAGTAAATACACTCTAGTGATGAAGTCATTCTATTGTAAGGTAAATGAGCCCTTTCCAGGCTTGCTGAAGAGAGTGGCTGCTAAGTCGAGAATGATTTTTCATGCAACTTCAGATGTTCAGCTATAACTTGTAATTACTGAATAATCCCTTGTTTTAAGTTTTGTGGCTGGTACTTTTTTCTTACACGTACCCTGACTGAAGACAGCAAAGGAAAGGCAGTACTTTCATTCCTTTATTGTTTGTCATTTTCCTTGGTCATTGTAGCATCCAAATAATGAACAACTTATGGTCTGACTCTAAACAAGAGCAGGAAAGCGTCTGTGTGACACACTTGAAACTGTACCACATTTTTGTATTGATGTTTCAGTAATCTAGTTATCTGTCAAAAACCTTGTTTTCAGAGTTTAGTCCTTCCCTAGCTTAACAGAGGTTCACTAAGGTGCATTTTTTATCTGTTCCTTACACCAGCCCATTGAGAATGGACCTTCTGGTATTCTTGCATCTGATTGTCCTGCAATTTCTCTAATTACGTATTTTCTAACACAAAATAAAAGATGCTGTTCTTCAGTAGAACCTGAAGCAGGGATATTTTCAAACCTCCAGGCTTTCCATGACCTCCACAATAACTTCATGTGGTGATAACTATCAGAAAAACAATCATAAGGTCTTCTCTCCTGACACTGCCGTTATGGTTTGAGTGGGTACATTGGATTTTCCTAAATTCCTCCCTAGTCCAACTTGAATCAATTCATCTTACTGGCAAATAAATATATTGTTTTTAATTTCTGATATCTCTAGGGCTGAAGCTATAACCTGTCAACTTCAAGATGGTGTTTTTTTTTTTATATTGACAGGACCAGTCTCACTGTGTGCTCCCTAAAATTGGTCATATCAATATAAAGCTTATAAAGTGAAATATTTAGTAATCTACAAGTGACGAACCTTTTCATACCAGTTTATTTATATATATACATACACACACACACACACACACACACGCATATATATATATGTATATTTATATTTAAATTCTCAATGGGTCAATTTGTCAGCTTTTCAAAATACAGTAATGCAAGACTAGATGGGTAATATATTTATCTCTTCAGCTGATTCGATGCTCTGATAATTTGTCTGTTGCACAGTATTCAGGTACTTGGAATAACCAAAACAGTTACAGCCTATTTAATGAAGAGCAATATTAGAGACTTGTGCTGTATACTACCTGAAGTTTCTGTTCTGTATAATGTTTTTCTATATTAAGTATGCCTTAAATTAATTTCTTTGTTTACCTCATGCTTTCCTGAATTAATTTATTCACACAACATTTTGTTATTTTTGTCGTCTTTGTGGTTTTGTAAAAAACTTCATAAGATTTATTTCTACATCTTCTAAGTCTGCTCTTGGCCCTTTTGTCAGTACTACTTAACTTTTCTTCATAGGTGAGGAACAGGAAGAACTTTCAGATTTTTTTTAATACATGTACCTAGTTTTCTCTTGATTTAGTTGTAGTGTACAGATTGATTATTCCCATACTTAAGAGGAAATATATGTGAATGTGTAAGCATGTAACATGACAAATAAATGGCTGAGTTATCAGTTAAGTCATTATAAAGGGTATGTTTATAGCAATGTAATTACTGTAGCAATAGTAAAAACTTTTATTATGTTTATTTGAGCATGGCTAGTTTTAACTAACTAAACAAACTTGAGAGAGCAGAGTTCAGACAATACTGACCTGGTCCTTGTCCTGAGAAACTTAAACTTTTAAATAGATGTGTGATCCAGGAAAAGCTCAAAAAATGTCCAAATGAAAGGCATTTTGAGTTTGCGTAGTAAATACATGATGTGTCTGAGATCGTGTTTTTATAAAATGTAATGACTGGGTGTAGTTTTAACTATTGGTGGATTGTTTTTATAACTAAATCCTGGAATGTTCATTCTTGTTCAATAATGTCTTGTAAACTTGTCAGTGGTGAAATGAAATAAAGGTGAAATAACTTTTTCAGAACTGTTTTTCATTTTAGCTTCCAGAAATGCTTCATGGAGATGGAGATAATGAAGAGCATGGCTATTGTCCTGTGGGACAGTTCATTCTTCAGAATCTAGGCCTGCTTCTTGGATTTGCCATCATGCTGGTGATTGCCCTCTATGAAGACAAAATTGTGCTTGACATCCAGTTTTGACCTAATTCTGGTAATCACTGTGGATTCAATAATATTACTGTATGGCTTTGAGTCTGCACTGTTTCACTGTATGCACGTTGCTCAGAGGAAAAGCAGTGGCTTGCACTACTTACACAAGTACAATATATTCATTTCTGTGTAGATTAATTCCTGCTTTTTTCTAATTCAAATCAGATGAGATTGCTCAATATGTCTTCTAAACTGAAGTGACTGATAATTTGGAAATACTAAATAAGAGAAATAAATGCCCAGTTGGGTGCGCTACTTGCTTAAATAAAAAAACATACAGGATCTACACACTTGGGAAAATACCATTTCATACTACATTTGAGAAAACCTGGAAAATGTTGCAGCTGAAATTCATACCTCCAAAGGAACCTGAGTAAGCTTTTAGTACCGCACAAGTCTTAAGCAGTGGGCATATATATGCATATATCAATTTGTGCATATATATGCATCTGTTTATTCATTTCTGTGTTGATTCGTCTACATAGTGGTGACTTTAAGTATTAAATCTTAACAACGGTAGTTAACTGGACACCACTGTGCTGTTTTAGATTTAAAAAATGAGTACAAATCTAAGCAACGTTTAAATTTTTAAGAGTACACCTTAAATTGCACTCCCTTGTTCATATAAAGTTCATGTGTAAGAAGGCAGGCTGTTGCAATATACGCTGCAAAGTGCTGTGTTCTGTCAAGGATCAGTTTGACGATGTTTTCCTGACTAAGATTTATTTGATGTTTGTCCCTTGATATTAGTAAGAAAATGCAAAATGCAATAGAATTAGTGCTAGCTTGGGGAAATCTCTGATGTTGGAGTTACAGAGCTATTCCTGGTTCTTTTCTACAGATGCTAAACATGTATTGTGTGCCACTTGCACCATAAACTACTGAAGAATTGTGGCTGAGAATGCGTGCAAACTACCTTTTAGCAGAGAATCCATATGGGAATTATTCCGTTTTTTAACGGTTGTTTTGGATTTTTTTTCTCCTCTTTATGTTAAAAAAGGAAGTCCAAAGTGGAAGATGCTAGTTACTGAACCTGGGCGCAAAAGTTAAATTATGGTCTGTGTATGTAGTACTGGTGGGTTATTTGCAATACTATAATACCAGATCAAAATCTGTTTCTACAATGCCTCAACATCAGACATGGTAGCACCAGCCATCTCACAGTGGAGAGTAAGAAAGATTTCTACTTACAGCATAAAGGAGTTCATTTCTATGATTTTTTCTTACAATTTGGGTATTTAGATTATTAAAAAGCAGATGTGGTAGATCTGTTGTACGTGTCATTTGAAAGGACAGACTGAGAATTTGGGCCTTAATTTGCTGGGATCAGATGTCTTAGGATTTTGCCGAGATGTTTATATTGCCAGATGTGAGTTAGTTCTTCTTGTACCCATCTCCTTGAAGAAAACACAAAGCAAATCAGTGAGTTTGTGAGGAGTGCAAGTTGATCCTGTAGTACCAGTCCTAAGCATGGTAGTAGCCTTTTCTGGAACACACAGTTCGTCGTCTTCTTTGTGTATGGCAGGTAAGCTGTATTTTGACTATGTGCCGTAAGTTTTGTTTCAGTCTGCTTGGTGCCAGTGTAGCTGCTAAAAACATACTGATCCTAACGCCTTTAAAGAGCACCAGTTGGTATCTTCATTCCATTTCAAGTTTGTGTGTTTCTTGTGGCCTGTTACTTTTTGAAGCTTCATGGGTCAATTTAGTTTTTACCAAGAGCAGCTTGTATATTTTAAAGGTATTGGGTTGGTTCTTGCCAGTATTTCTTCCTAATGCAGTATCAAGAAACAGTATTAAGGGTCCATTTCAAAGAAGAGTGCAGTTTCTTCAGTGAAGAAGCCAAAAGCCCAGAGTTCAGGTATACAGCCATTCGATGCTCAGAACTCAGGTTTCTTTGTTTTTCTTCTTTAAATACATTTACTATTGGACCCTAATTAGCACAATGATGTTAGCTTCAGTTTGCTGAACTTCTGCAATGTAAAGATCCTGGGTGACACTTTTTTCCTAGTGCCCACGTTAGGTCCCTGAGTACCTTTTTCAAAGAGACTTAAGTCACTGGATAACTTCTGAGAATTTTAACTTAAAGAACCAATGTTGTTTATGTATTGAACTGACCCTTAATTTTAAATTTCTCTTAATTTCTGTCAAGTATAAGGGGTCATGTGGTTGAACTGATATTGTCAAATCATTTTTTTAAGTTTATTTCTTGTAATACTTTTACAAATGAAATTTTCTTTATTTCAGGTAGAATAATTACTTTTGTATTAGTTGGAGTATGGTTTTAGCTTAATACACTGCCTATATAGGGAATATAGTAAATTTCCTTCCAACACCATCTTCAGACAAGGGAAAAAATGGTCCTTGAAGGCAGGTACTGCATTTTTCATTAAATACATTGTTTTTCTTTTATTTTCTAGTATTTATTACAACTTATGAAGAACAGTGTAACAGCTGTGACTTCTGTAGATTTCTACCAGTACTGAATTCCAAATCATTCTAATGTACGCTTTTAAGTCATGTTACAGACAATCTGAATTCCACTACATTTCTACTTGGCTTCAACATTCCATTCTGCTTGGATCCAGAGTCTCATTTAACTTGTATTTGTTGGAGGGCATGTTACTTGTATATTACAATGCTGTCACTGTGTGACATCCCATATGAATTTTGATGTAGATCACATTGCACTCAATCCGCTGTGATTATGCTTAGAAAATATTGTAGTTGCTAGATGCAGTGTGATTTTTGTTTTTATTTTTTCCCCTCCAGTTAACAATTGAGTCTATGGTTTCAAATGTGATTATGGTCCTATAAGATACAGCTGCGCTATCAGTTTTTTGTTATAACTAAATCATTTTTAAAAATTTTATAAAGCTGGAAAAAGATCAAATGCTGTTTTGTTCATTGTCAACAGTGTTGTGTTCATTTTATGTATGTTCCTTATAAATAAGGAGCCTTCAAAAAATAAAATTATTCAAGGAGCAGTTATTCTTGTTGGCTTGTATAAGATTTTATTGTGCACCATTATATTTTAGTATTTTGCTTCAATTCTCATGAAATGCACAAATGCAACATTGTAAAGATATATATATGTATATTTATCCTTCTTTCATGTGTTGATTTCTCTTTCGAAATGGCATTTCAGAATGGACATGCATCCCTAATAAGTGATTTGGAAATGCACCTCCACAGATTGTGGTAGGTTTACGAATTAAGCTGACATAATAGCGCCACCCCCCGTCTGATCCAGTGTTCTTGTGGCTTATCCGAAGGGAGGGTCATTGCAATTACAAAGTTGGTGGAATGACCAGTAGTTGACAAGACTCCTCTTCTCTCGCTGGTCTTGTACAATGGGGCCAAGTAGCTGGGTCGCTGTGGAATGTCTGCTCTCTTACAGGGCTTTAGCCATATCTGCAGCAAAGAACAAGCCTTTTCACTTCAGTTAAAAAAAAAAAAAAAAAAAGAAAAAGTTGGGAAACACTCTTGGCTTGCCAAAATATTTTTGTCGGTGGTGTTTGTTTTCTTACAGGTAGCCTTTGAAAACCTGTTTCTTGATTACTCATTCTTAGCAGATTGTTTCCTCTCCCAAAATCTGCAACATCGGACCTGCTGTTGCCATCATCATTAGTAGAGGATTCTCAGCTCCTCTTAGATGCTTAATTTGCTTTTCAACACAAAGCATTTTCAATTCATTTTTTTTTAATTATCCTGTTGCTCCCTTCAAGGCTAGAACTTAGGTTCCACATCGTTCTACAATATTTGTTCATATCTAATAATACAAAATATCACCAAATGAAAGATACATACCACAGGTACTATGTCATAGAGGATTTTCGGAAGGGATTCTCCTAGCTTCTTAGTTTCTCTGTTCCAGCGTGCTCCATCCAAGAACAGTCCCTGAATGTAGACACCTGAATCAGTTGCAAAAGGTAATATATTAAGCAAAAACTGGAAGAGGTTTCTAGCTGAGAGCAGCAGCTAGGGCAACACACTTTTGCTAACTGTCTGTTAGTTGTGTGGGGCATTTTTGTCCCCACACATTTTTTGTTTTTTAATTTTTGTTGTGTTCCAAATAATCAAATAACTGAGTTTAACACAATCTTTTAAAGCATTACAACTTATTATTTATTATTATAATTCTATAAAGTTTAAAGCTGCAATGTCTAGCAGTATCATGGTGTATCTAGTCTTTATAATGTTGAGGGAAGTAAAAAATAAAAGTCCAAAGTACAGGACACTATTTTCACAGTTGTCATTACAAAGTTTTCTGTATGTACTACAGATTATAAACTTTAATGTTTCTAAACTAGGAGATTTGACCATACAGACTCTTTCCCCAGTTACTATTAATTGTTTTATTGCTTGTTTCACATTGTCATTTGGCAATTAACCATTTAAAGGTTATATAACGATTTAAATATTACATCTTTACAACAGTTCATTAAGAGAGTTGAAAAAAAGCAATTCTTTTGAAGATTCGCACCTTTGTGTTGTGTAGACTTGAAAACTGTAACTTTTAAGTACAAAAATAAACCTGCCTCAAGAACAACAAAAGAAGTTGAAAACTGACTGGGTGGTGGTCTCCCAGTCAAACTGCTAAACCCTTCTCACACAACTACCAACAAGCACAGCCAACAGCAAAGGGTTTGTTTTCACTCAGGGGAATAAGCATCTTCAGATGTGTTACTCGGGTGAACTAAACAAAAAGAACAGGCAAGCCAAACACAGCTTAAAAGTGATCTGTTTTGGGAAGTTAGGGATAAGCAGTCTTCTCTTGGTGTTACTTTTCATCTGTGGGCTGATCCAGGGAGTGCAGTAATCTCAGCAGTATTTAAAGGCTGGCTTGCATAGTATTTTGAGAGCAACGCAGGCAACGCAGTTGTGTATGTTTTCTAACGGAGTTCATTAACTTAATTGTATAACTCTGAGTCTGCAAATTAATGTTAACTTACAAATGCATCAACACAGGCAAATAAATGTCATGTATTTACTTACCATCTTCAGGAGGGATTTCATATTCCTTATCTTCCAGCACTTCGTAGTCAAATGCTAGTAGGTCTATTGGAATAGTGTATTTTCTGGCATAGTTCTGCTGGGCACCTGTTAAGAACGCTTGAGTGAAGAAGAATCCTGAAATCCAGAAGACGGGTGGCATACCATTTTCGTACCACAGCTGCAAAAGAGAGAGGAGGAGGAAAGTAGGGGGGAGCAGCTTTTATCTTTTGTAGTATTTAGGAACTCAAATAACTTGTGAAATAACAGCCAAAATAGTTTCTGCAGTGGTATGTTTGGATGGCTGCTACGTGTTTTCCACCAAGTTGTTAAAATGTCACTGGCTTATGGCTTTTCTTGTTGTTTTATTTTAAGACTGAAGAGGACAAAACACCACTGCACCTACTGCCTGGAAGTTCTTAGCTAATGTGAATGAATTAGTCTGTTAATCATGCATCATCTATGTAAGCTCATCAAATGTGTGTTCAAGTCACCCTTTCTCTCTTGTTATCAGAGGCTTTTCAGCATGATGATCTTTGTTTCCTCATGCAGGTGGCAGGGTTTTTTGTTTGTTTGTTTTTTTTTTTCAGGCTTTGCTTTTCTTCATTGGATTTCCCTTCCAGGGCCAATGTTGCATGTTGTGTGTGGGTGCACTTGCATGTGCAGCAAGTTGAAGGTGAGGGTGGGTGAGTTCCTTATGAGGAGGAAAATGGAATGGCCTAATTAAAATTTGTTTTTGGGGGATAGAGGGGTGTCCTTTTCCCCCTTCCCCCCCTTCCCCTAGCTTACACTGCGGAAACTTGTGTATAAAAAATTTTGAATGCTGGATTTCATTGCATTTAGTTGTAATATAAGTGAGGTCTATAGCAATGGTTAATACTTCATCCAAGAAGACATTTTTCTGGTTGTTGTACACATAACTAGAACAATTGTTGTAAACATGAGTTTTGAACAATGTCAGAAAAAAAATGCATTACAATTACATTACTGCAGAGAATTATAATGGTTACCAAAGTACTTGTCTTTCTGGTTAGTTTCCATCCAAAGAAATAAACAAAATCCTTATAGATAATGGCAGTTTCTCCTTCATACAAGTTTAATATCTGTCCTGGATTCTGTTCAAGAAATGTCACTTTTATTCTTTATAAGTACTGCAGTCAGACGTGCTACGCATTAAAGTAGAAGTTACTGAGGTGTGGTGACAGGGTCCAAAAAAAAACAAAACAGAGGTTCTCTGCAAATGCATAATTTGTGAATATGTTACTATAACTGAAACCAGATTTTTTTATATATATATTTTTTAATTCTTATTTTTGTTTCAGGATCTTTTGTCTATCTCAAGACCCGTTCTTTTTGCAGGTACAGAGGAGGGAGCTTGGAACAAGTTGCACATTTTATCTTGGGGGGTTGAACTGTCAGTTTAGTCTTCTACATTAAAGGCATACATTAGTGTTTATGGTCTCATGGTCTTATTAGGTGATAAACATCAATTGTCTTCAGTTGATGGAGGTCACTAAGGCACAGAATAGTGCTCAGTCTCTGTATTAGTCACTTAAAGTCAGTTTGGGGAATTTGTAGCCTTACCAGTGAAGGGACCCCACTGATTCTCATTCACTCAGCCAACTTTCTCCTCTCATGGTCTCTCTACTGTAAGCTATTACTTGACTTCAACATAAATAAAAGATTTCATATTATAACACTTTACTGATTTAAACTTGCTATTTGGAAAAGCAACTCAACAGCCTCTCCCAAAGTTCTATTTTATTTATTTAACTTCCCTACCACCACAAAGATCTATGTGCAGTTTAAGATGCCCTTAGTAAATTCACTTCAGAAGGCCAATTCTGGCGTCTGTCATACAGTAATACTGATGCACTACACCTCACTTTATGTGGTGTAAGGTATGTGGCAAGATAACAGTGCTTCACTAGATGCTGTGATGAACAAGCAACTAACCAAAACAGGTGCACAAATGGACTGAACATTACATGTCAGTGTCATTCATCTGTGCGTTCACTTGTGGAGATTCCTCCTGACAACAAGAGATAAAATAAGTGGTGTTGAACAAATTGCATACATGGGATGTGCTTACCTGTAGGAACTTCAGTCTACTGAGGAAGTCATTCACGTAGCTGCCCAGAGGCTTGAGGCTTGGGTAAGACTTACTCATCCATAGGCCTGGAATTTTGGCTTTCAAAATGCTGTTTACCACTTCTTCCAGTTCAGCAGACATCACAACTAGCCCCTAAAATAATTTTGGGAAGGGAAAATAGGAGAATACTTTGTCTCAACAGCCTTGCTACAACAATTATACAAACTCTTTGTCTAACAGATGTTACCAATTTCTAGTTAAGTCAGGAACAGCCCTGAAAACGTGAATGGATGTGATGAATTTCATTCAAAAGTTACTGTGGTCAGAGCTAGTAGTTAGTTGCTAAACTGGTCAGGAAAAAGGCCGATAGACCATTTTGGAAAGAAACTGCCCAGAATGGGAAATCAGCATTCATCATCCCTCCTCAGAAATATGAGTGATTACTGAGTGTGAATTACTGAGTTACTACTAAATGTAAATGTTTTTATAGTATTATTTAAAGTGTCCTCAAAACTGCAACATTGCAAGTTTTTTAATTGGCCAACTTTTCAGCTTGTGGTTTGTCTTTAAGAGGGAGAGGGGTTGTGGATTTTTTCTGTTTTTATTAAAAACAAACAAAACATCACCCTCAAGGTAAGATTGGATAGATTTAAAAAAATAAATAAATCTAAACTGACTTTTCCCTGCTCCCCACCCTGTATTTTACACAGCTGTAGCTTTCAATTCCCACTGAGAACAACTGCTGACTTCAGACATTAAATTATTACTGGAGGGTTCCAGTTGAGGTCTTGAGAATATTTGTCTTTATCTGTAAGAAATTGTGAGGTGCTTCTGTCTTTTATGTTACTAAGGCACAAAAAGATTGTGAACCTGGTTACTGTTCATTTGGTAAAAAATCCA